TTGGTAAAAGAATAGCCCAAGAGTTGGCGGTGGGTGGTGATGACTAGCTACCTTCCCTCTAGTCTTACACTGCTAAATTAGGGACGGCTAGCGCAGATAGCCCTCGTGTAGCTTTGCGCGAAATACAAAACAAACAAATAAACCGACGTAGTCTATAAATATCCAATCAGTGTCGAGTTCCTGACGAAGGAGATAAAATGTATATTTTTGTCACACCAGGAATGAACGTTTTTGACCCACAGAATCAACTGGGTTTCCCACACAATCAGGAAGTCCTGAGATTTCGATCCAGAAATTAGTAAAGCTTTGATTTCACAACTCTAACGATCTCGTGAGTTTCTTTTAAAGCAATGTTATATTTTGAATTAAGTGACTTAGGTTGAAAAAACTCGTCACACTGTTTATCTTGGCAGGAATTTGAAGGACGTTTTAATTACACATACAGAACCACAGATATAAAACTACTTGTTATTTAAATGTACAAAGTCTGTCAGAATGGACTTTTTATCAGGTTACCATTTCTGATCAATATATTAAGGTGGAAAAGTTTGTTTGTTTTGAATTTCGCTCAAAGCTACACGAGGGCTATCTGCGCTAGCCGTCCCTAATTTAGCAGTGTAAGCTAGTCATCACCACCCACCGCCAACTCTTGGGCTAATCTTTTACCAACGAATAGTGGGATTGACCGTCACATTATAACGCCCCCACGGCTGAAAGGGCGAGAATGTTTGGTGTGACGGGGATTCGAACCCGCAATCCTCAGATTGCGAGTCGAGCACCCTAACCACCTAAGCATGTGGAAAAGGCAATGGAAAATAAATAAGGTATATTTTCAAGTCCATAAACTTTCGAAAAATAAAAAATTTGAAAAGGTAAATTTTTATATTTGAGTATTGATAAATTTAATATACAATATAGAATGGAGTGTTATAAGAAAGTTATGCCCGATACCGAAACTACTTGACTCGTGTTTTCTTTTTTATTATTAATATATATCTATTATTGTGCTTATAAACGTTGTTTATATCTTTTTTTATGAGATAATCAACACAACATAAGTTAAAGTTCTCAGTTCTGAAGATGTTCCTTTGTTGCAAAGCTACTCCTGGGCTAGCCGTCCTTAATTGGGCCCGAAATGGCTAGGTGGTTAGGGCGTTTAACTCGCGATCTGAGGGTCACGGGTTCGAATTCCCGTCCCATCAAACTTACTCACCCTTTCAACTGTGGGGGCGTTATAATGTGACATTCAATCCCACTATTCGTTGGTAAAAGAGTAGCCCAAGAGTTGACGGTGACTAGTCTTTCACTGCTAAATTAGGGACGGCTAGCGTATATAGCCCTCATGTAGCTGTGCGCGAAATTCGGAACTAACTAACTAGCCATCCCTAATTTTGAAGTGATAGCCTAGGTTGAAGGCAGCTAATGAACACCACCCGCCGCCAACTCTTGGACTATTCTAATCGAGTGCGTAGTAAAGTTGGGTGAAACCGTTTTTGTTTTTTTTTTCTGGCCAAAGAATATGTTTGCTGTTTGTCATTTAGTTTAGTTGGGTTTTTCTGCTATAATCCGTTTTCTAGCGATGAAAACCTTATTTGTAAAAGTAACAGAAAATGATCCTTGAAGGTTCTCTCAATAAGGACTTTTAATTTCAAAAATCTCGATATTTTAGACAAATATCCATGACGAACTTCGAAGTTTTAAAGTGTATGCATGTGTATATATTGAAAATAAATTTTCATACAAAACTCTTACACTACACTCTCAGTATTTTATACTCTTAATATTTTACTAATACACTTTATTCCAGAAGAGCCAGCTAGTGGCAAAGAATGCATCACGATGATCGAATTAAGTTATTGATATATTTGACGTGCAATCACGAAGGTGGTGGTCTTATTCAAAACGTTTATTAGTTGCTAAGCGTAAAGCTACATAATGGGCTATCTGTGCCGTGCCCAACGCGAGTATCGAAACCCAACTGTTAGCGTTATAAGCCCTCAGACTGGCTGCTGAGCCTCCGGGCTATTCAGATAAAACCGTTGGTATGGTTTGTTTGAAGTTAAGCACAAAGCTACACGATGGGCCATCTGTGCTCTGCCCGCCACGGGTATCGAAACCCGGTTTGTAGCGTTGTAAGTCCACAGACATACCGCTGTGCCACTGGGGGCCACGTTGGTATGGAAAGTAAATTAATGACCACTAATCATTCATAAAATTAAAGTGTCAGAAAGTATAATATTTTACGTGTATGAAGTACAGAAAACCGGGCGTGGTGTACTGGTTAGTGTGCTGGACTGTGAAACTGAGGGTCCATGATTCGTTGTCACATTCCCGAAAATACGCGTATAATATTTTACGTGTATGAAGTACAGAAAACCGGGCGTGGTGTACTGGTTAGTGTGCTGGACTGTGAAACTGAGGGTCCATGATTCGTTGTCACATTACCGAAAATACGCGCTTCGCACTTTAAGGTTATGCGTACGTTATAAAAGCTACATACAGGTTACCTACGCTAGCCGTTCCTAATTGTGAAGTAATGAATTGTAGAGAAGGCATCTAGTCAACAGCACTCGCCGCCAACTCTTGGGCTAATTTAATTCAATAGCGGGATTTCACTGTCGCTGTTATAAAGCACACTGCGGACGACTTAACCACACCTGGCCGGCCCTTCAACGATTGCTTTTCGATCATTACATCTTACTCCAATTTTACTTAACCTCGGGCATGGAAGGCCGTTTAGTTTCCCCGAGACACATAAACGTAGGCCAATACCCTCGCCTATTATTGGCTTGTCCTTCTTCTTCTGGCGATATGTTCAACAACGACACTTTATTATGAAACCCAATCTTACACTTTTTTACCGCGATAAGATAGGGGCGCTGTTAGCCAATCACATGGTAGTAGTTTCAAGCTAAGAACAGCGTGTATACAAAATATTTATTATTTAATAAGCGAGATAAAGTTGAAAACGTTTGAAGGATTCTATGACAGCGAACAAGATACTAGATATACTTCTAATGTAAGAAAAGACCATTTTCATTACAAATATTATACAAATATAGCTTACACAACGCTTACATCAATTTTATCACCTAAGTGAAAGTGGAGCAACAACTCCTTATGTTGGATTATATTATAAAATGTTTATCATAAATAGGCTAGAAAAAGAGAAGTATCTGATTAGGCCACGCATAGCGGTGGAGATCATTTACCTATGAGATAAATATCGCCTCTATACGCGAGTTTGAAAACTAAAAGGTAATTATAAACATTCGGAGCAGATACACGTGTCCGAACCCACATCTAAAATTATCAATTAGCATTTTGCAGTTAGTTGTGGGAAGGTTTCTCCTGATCAAATACGAAAGCAAGAAATGAGAGCTAAAATATATAAAATAAAACAGGTAACTATAGACGGGCAACTTATGGTGATACTGATAGGTAAACTTGCCTCGGCGTCCCCCATAATAGCTACTCTATGAACAACAGAACGGGATCTATGATGTATAGGTTATTGACTTCTACTAGAACTAACTCTGATAGATGGTGTGCCTCTAATAGTGCGAGTCCTAACCTTTCTTACTACGGTTCATTTTACTTTTCCAATACTGTATATATCTGATCATTCACTATTACATCTTGCTGCTCTGGGAAACTGAAAATTTTTACATTTGTCGTTTGCTTATAAATTCTTAACTCGTGGGAACCCCAGATTCAATCTATTAAAGCAGCTGATTTCTGTAGAAATCTCGCCCTAGATTTTTAAAGCTCATGCGAGATGATGCACTTCGCAACTCAACGTTTCGAAAATCACCGGTTAAATTAGGATGGAACGGTCCGTAACGGCGTTTCGCTTCTCGAAGATTCGAGTCATTAGCGTTATTGGTCTTCTGGTTTGGTTTGTTTGTTTTGAATTTAGCGCAAAGCTACGTGAGGGCTATCTGCGCTAGCCGTCCTTAATTTAGCAGTGAACGATTATAGGGAAGGCAGCTAGTCATCACCACCCACCGCCAACTCTTGGGCTACTATTTTATCAACGAATAGTGGGATTGACTGTGACATTATAACACCCCCACGGCTGAAAGGGCAAGCATGTTTGATGGGACGGAAATTCGAACCCGCGACCCTCAGATTGGTTGGTCTTCTGATGTACAGTGTACAAGATAGTACCATTTAACATTTGAATATGTTCTCAGGGAGTGTAAGTCGTTTTTTTTTAACCATACTGCTACAATAAAGTGAAGCACAAAAGGGAGTTATACCTCTTTTAAAACCCTAATTTAAACATCGTAAAAAAAGTTTCCAGATCAAAATTTACAGAGAAAAAATGTTTTTAAACTTTGGTGACCACAGGACAAAGATTCCCTCCAAAGAACTGTTTTAAACTTTGGTGACCACAGGACAAAGATTCCCTCCAAAGAGTACCCAAAGTTGATGAGCACTTTCCAGTTTCTATCGGTGTTCTTTGATTGTCCGATACCTAAGTATTTGTCCCCCCCCCGGAAAGACAGTGGTAAGGCTAAGGATTTACAATGATAAAATTCGGTGTTAGATTCCCCGCAGCGGACAGAGCAGATAGCCCAATGTGGCTTCGCTTAAAAAAAACAAATAAACCAAAGTTATTATGACATTCCACAATCACATCATATTCACCAGTAGAGAAAGCCTAATACGTAAATGTCATATATTCTAGGTCGCGCTATTTTACACTTAATACAATCTTGAGAAATTAAGAATTATTACTTTTTATGTTATTATTAATGTTATAATTTTAAATAATAATCTGTCATTTTTCCCTGTTTCAAGTATGTCTAATTTAAAGACAAATGAATTTAGGTCTTGCAAACAATTTTTATACACAACATATAACTGTATATCAGCAATATATGTGAAGAGTGTTATTGAATATGTGAATTTTATATCATTTGCACTACACTTTATTATCAACAAGTTTTATATATTAATTTAGTAACATCTTGATATTACTCGTGCTGCCATCTTTTGAAGTGAAATCCAAATAAGGTAGTAGTCTAGGAAGTGAGGAAAAATAAGACTTTGCTGCGATATGCTTCTGTTGGACTTGTTGAATAAAGGTTGAGCTGTAATGCTGAAAAAAAAAAAACGATGAAAGGTATATTTATAATTTAAATCTTGCTGAGTAAAAAGAATGTACTAAGTAAGATTTTAGGCAATCTACATTTTGAAATCAATAATAATTCAAAAATAATAAGTTGTTTCAACACATCTACTATCAATGTGCTTTGATAGGAACAGAACAAAAAAGCGGATAGAAAAGAAAGGATTGTAACAGCTAAAGTACACATTATGCTGTTATCATAAGTTACTCACTGTTCACAGAGACTTTTACAGAAAATTCACATTTTCTGCGGCTATCCTATTACATTTTTGTATCCTTTCAGGTTCTGTTTTCTCGCTTATGTAGTTTTTTTTTGAGTTAAAATATTTATGTTCATTTAATTTGAGTCCATTCATGTTCGTGAGTCAACCTTAGTTTGGCAGGTCCTTGTCAGTGTGATATTTTTAGGTCAAACTGATTTTTTTAAAGCAATGGGATAGGTCAATTGAATAATAAGAAATTGAACAATATATATATATTACAGAGCAGTGCTGAATTTCTGTGACTTTGACTGAATCTGTGAGAATGAAATAAAGAGACTGGGCATAATATAACACACAATGAACACTGCTGTCGGCATCCTTGAAAAACGTACAGCATTATAGCCACTCCTCCCATGGGCAGACCAGGTGATACCTCATTCTGTTTATTTTAATACATTAATACAAGTTGCATGTATGTGTGTGTGTGTATATATATTTACATGTTTTGTGCTAATCAGTAATAATGTACATTGGTACAGATGTGTGTGCTTGTTCTTTAGTATCACAAGTGTTTAAAAACTAGAGTGCTACCAGAAGAAAATATTTGAAAATTTGTAACATCAACTACTGAACGATACAAAAGAACACAATTTCCATATTACTCCAGTGTACAATAAAAATGTTAACCAATTTAACCCAGGTTTGGGTTATTTAATCTTAGACCTCCTGATGCAGTATCCCTTAAAACTTCCTTGTGCCATTACAAAGAATTGTTGGTTGTATTGTAAAGAAGGGCACGCCTGCCTCTTGGTTGTTAAACACGATCGAAGCTTATGAAAAAGTGACTAATTGGTTGTTTAATATAAAGATGAGAAGTACTTTTTGAGCAAGTCTATTTTACTCTTACTTTCAAGTTAAAAAATACTGTTGCAGCTGAACAGCTGTACAATGGTGGTAAATATGAATACAAATATTTTCCAAAGAAACTAATGATTTTTTGCTCCTCAAATTTTCTCTCTCTTTTCATCTACAAAATTAGCTCTGCCAAAGGATTTTGGTGAAATTATGAAAAAATAACAATCAACACCAGTAAAGAACCTTATATGTAACTATCTACCTTGAACTAATCATAAAGTGGAATACCTGAGAAACGCTGTTTAATGCACAGTGATTTCTGGCTTCCTGCCTGTTCATGAGAATACAGTTCCAGGGGGTCCACTCATATTCTTTGTTCCACCGTAGGAACACCAAGTCAAAAAGGTTGGTGCTGCCACTTAATGCACTTTTTCCTTTCCAGATCTTTTCCACCAGATAACGAATTTCTCCTTCCTAAAAGAACCAAACTTATCATCACCTTTTACAAATTTAATGCTCACTGTATCAGAAAGAATCTGAACAGTTATTGCACTCTTAGTATCTCTTAAATGAAGCATTAACTGGTATCTGTTATGCAGTAGCTAGAAAATAAACAGTCAAATTAAACCTAAATGTAAACTAAAGTTACTTACTACAGCACATATATAACTATTTTAACTGTAAGAAGCTTTCAACTGTGGTTATGTCGGTTTCAACCGTTTCAGTCACATCGTCATAATGAAAGAAACAGTTTTCAAGCTTTCATTAAGATATATATATATATAGACCCTTCTCAATTTTATAAACAGCATCAACACTTGACATCATTATTGCACATGTACACGTCAGCTGCAGTTTGCAAAGTCTTGAGTTTTATCGTCATTTTTAAAGTTGGTTGTTTTAACAAGAATCTATTTATTATACTGGAAAGAGGGATTTAATATATTAGATATTAATCAAACAAGTTAATATTATGAGAAATGTAGTACAGACCTATGGCTGATAGTGGAGGAATACGAAATGGTAGGTGTGATCTTCCTTATGACCATGGTATAAGTGTAGTATATCAAGGTAAAACAGAGTAACTCTTGATCTACACTAGATAGATCCACTTGATAACTGGAGACTCAATCAAGATATTGACTACAAAGTAATTTTGAAACTCTTACCAACTGAATCCATGTTGAATGAAATAAAAAGACTGGAAACAAAGTAATACACAAAATGCACAATCTTTATTACATCATGTGACAAAAACATAGTGTGTGTATACCTGCTTGAATGTTCAAAACATGTTGGAACATCACATTACACTTGCTCTCTCTTCAGTCTATTGTGGTGAGATCTTGTATCAAATCATTTAGAACTGAGACCAAGTTTCAGACTATACTGTATCATCAAAAATGAAATTTCAGACTATTTGAATGCTATGTTTCTTAGTTTCAAGAAACCTCACTTTTATCCAAAGTGACACATGCTATCCATATGTTACCCAAAGTGACACGTGCTATCCATGTCTTACCCAAAGTGACATGTGGTATCCATGTCGTACCCAAAGTGACACGTGGTATCCATGTTGTACCAAAAGTGACACATGTTACCCATGTCTTACATAATGTGTTGTATTATGCAACATTCTCCCCAGGCAGTAACAGGTATTATCTATTTTTGAAAACAACAGAGAAACAACTCAAAACAAGATCAACTTAATGGTCTTCTTGACCATGTGTTATGTGAAACCTTCACAAATTCAGAATAAATGAATTCAGGAAAAACATTATAATAGTGCTAGAAGAGAGAAACACATGGTATATTAAAATACCACATCAGTATTACTATCCGTAACAGCAGTAGGCCTAGAAGTACTAATACTAATGCTGACAGTAGCAGCACCAGGCATAGTGATAATGGTACTAATACAATAGGCCTTGTAGTACTAGTACTACTGAACAACAAGGAATAAAACTATGGAGCATTCCTCTAATTTAAATGATGCTGATAAAAAAAGAAAGGTGGAAATGTTAAAAATTGGTAAGATAACATTGTCTGACCCTTATACTACATTTAGGATGGATAGGAAAACAATTTCCCCAAAAAAAGTATCCATATCTCCAGTTTGGATAGATTTATTATCATTTAATCAATACCAATGGAAACTATATGACCTTATCATATTATTAGGAAAAAATGCTTTATTACAAACTTAGTCACAGTCTTATACTTATAAAGAAATATAAATGATTCATAACACTAGACAGCTTTGATCACAGAAAATGCTAGTATATGTAATAATAAGACACTTGCCTGATCATCACAGGCAGATATGAAGAAACTAAGTATTTTTTCACATCTCAATATTTCTAACAATTGTGTTAAACTTTAACTTGATGATAACTAAGCAACCCGGTATTGCTTAATTACAGTATTTCACCCGAATGAGACTGTAAAAGATGACTGTTTTAGAACAATATAAACAGATGATTTGTCAAATTAGCAAAAAACAGCATGACTGCACTTATGCTAAATAAACAGTTACAATGTTTATAAAGATTCAGATTCAGCTTTATTAAAGTTAAGGTCGAGCACACTTTTACCATGCATGGTAATAGCTACCAATACATTACATAGCATCCAGATACAAAAACATGAAATAAGAAACACAAGAACAATAACAGTAGAGAATACATAAATTTCTCTTAAAGGATTGTTAGCTTGTGTTCAATCTGAAGTTAAGATTTCTACCAAACCTATAAAACACTTGTTAAAACAACCAATTTGTTATTATATTCTATTAATCTATTTTACTTTTGAATGCAAACTAAAGAAAAAACAAAAGTTAAATCTACATATAAAGAAAACAAAAAAAAACAATACTTTCATCAGTTTCTTATGACATTATTATATGACTGAATATAAGTTTTTGATTATAATTTTCTGCTTAATATTAAAATTTAATTACGAGTATGTATCCAAAGAAATGTTTCATAAATACAAGTTCAATTTTGTAAAAGTTATAGTTCAACTTAGACCCAGAAGTTAACACTATATTGTTAAGTATATTATTAAGTTACTACGTTTGAGACAATGATTACTGCTAGTCTTCACTGCACTGATCCACAGCCTTTGTTTTATAGTAACCCTGTAAAAAGACAATCATTGTTGTTGTTTTATGTTGACTTGTGTAACTTATCACACAGAAATTGATAGACATCTTGTAGAATGACCACTGTATTTTGTCTACCATGGCTACAAGTGATGATGTACATGTGATTATGACATCTCTTGAGAAGGGTCTATATGTTGGTATTCAATGTATTTTCTAAGATATGTATAAGACAGATGTGAAAATTCTAAACTAATCGAAAACATGTGTAACATAGTAATCATTTATATGATTGGAATATGGGTTTCTTGAAACTTTGTTTTTAAATCTTTCGTGGATAATTTGTTTTGATCTCAAAGAAAATGCTGGATTAAAACAATTAATAGGATAACAACTATATCTTGTGGTTTGTTTTCCCCACAAACTTGCGCTTGTTTCCATAAGCTTACATTTAGAAGGAACACAAGTCCAGTAGTGCTACCAGACTGTCTCTCCTTATCCCACACCTCCTTCAACATCTGAAGAAAGACTCTTCCCTCTCGTCTTCTCCATCCTTCATTTTCAAGGTCACGACATCGTGTACATTTCCAAGTAAGAATCTGTCTGGCAACATCTCCAGACCCTTCGTTAGGGATCAGGTAATGAGTGTCGCAGTAACGACAGTGGGCTAATCTTTGTGGAACATTTGCTGGAGCTGAAGAAAGCTTTAGAAAATACATTGACTTGATTATTAATACCTCTAGGAAAGTACTCACTTCATAGAAACATTTAATTTAGTTTTATGTTTTTAGAAAACTTTAATTAGTCTAAGTAATTAGGTTGAAGTAACTAAAGCAAGATACAAGCTTAGCACTTTATCACTATCAATTCTACCATCAGGAGGATCACAACATTAGAAATATAGACTGGAAAATTACATAACTCAAGAAAACAATGAAGTAACTGATCTACATAACAATGTACAGTTTACAAAGGATTTGTAAATGCTCAAATTAAAAGTTATTAGATTGTATAGCTAAATATGTATATTTACAGAAGCATCATTTCACAAAAGGGAGGGAGAAGCTGACCCTGATGTCCTTTCCAAATGATGCTTAGTTACAAATACCAATATACAACACCACTGTAAAAACTAATTGGAAATGCAAACAGCCTATTTTTATTTTGTTAGTTGAAATGAAAAGTAATACAAATTAAGATAACAATGAAACAAAACACTTATGCCATAAGTTCAAGCAAAACATGAAACATAATTCAGACCAACTATACAAAAACAGTGATGTTCAGATACAGAAATGATACAAAAAAGGATCCTTTTCAAATACTGTGTTACAAAGAAAGACATGTTACAAAACTAATGTTTATTTCTTTGAGAAATACTGAAGCAAGATATCTTTTTAATTAGTGATCTTTAATTTAAGAAAGGCCTTATATTACTTTATTTTTGTTTTCTCTGACACTCAAAATTTCTTTCTACTATGAGCATTTAGTAAACAGAAGCTGAATTATTAATTTACCTTCTTGTCATGAAACACGTGGAAGGCTTATCAAAATTTTATCTAAATTTGATTAGATGTGCATTTTTGAATGACACAACTACAAGGTTAAAAGTTGCATCCTATAACAAAGAATTTTTTTACCATTTGTTTTTTTAAAGATATCAGTAAGAAAATAGTGCATGCTTTTTAAGTTTTTCATTGGTCAAAGAATAATATTTCTTTTTCATTAACTACAGTGATAGACACTTGTTGAGTGAGAACACCATACTTTAATGTCCTTTTTAAACAGTTTCTGATGACTGATTTAAGTTGATGATCTTGCACGAAGTTTATGGCTTTGGTTATTTTTTCTATATGTAGACTGTAGAAACACAAATCTATCCTCTTGAAGATTTAATAACCAATCATATACCTTACTGTATGTTGGTATATCATGAATATATATATATACTTCATTTACTTTAACATTAGATTTAACCTTGGTGTTTTTTGTTTCTGCACGTTACATGTAGTTTTTTAATAACATATTTTTTCATTTACCTTTTCTGACATCAAAAACTGAATATTTTATACTATCTATACACATCAAATGGTCTCCCTGTCACTAAGGGATGAAAATTCTTCTTAAACTTTGAGTCTAAGATTGAATTAGTTAAGAAGATATTCCTGATAAATATTGCACATTTTCTTTAGCAATGTCACAAACTTTGACACTAATATGTTAATACTTTAAAAAGTTTAATGAGCTGTTGTAATTATTTTCAATCATGTATATTTACCACCTAATGAGTACTTTTGAAATTGATACTTCAGTGATCTCAACCAGGAAATATAACATCTAATTTAAAGTCCAATAAACACTGAACTAATTGACTTCAAAACTAGAGATACAATAACTTTTATACTATTCATCAGTGCTATTTAAGAGGGGAAGGAGATTAAAATTGGACAAGTTTGGTTAAAAAAGTAGTAACAGAAAACATATTAGATTGTTACATAGTTTTGGAACTCTTCAAAACACGACAGGATAATCATACTTTTTGCAGTAATGCCACTTCAGGGTTGAAGGCTGGTTGTCTTGCATATTGCCAGAACAAATCCATGATGCACTGTCTCAAGCCTGTCAAGTATTTTTTATCCGTGCCTCGAACAAGGAGATCAAGCTCTCTGTCCACCAAGGTTGTCAACTCCCGAGTTAACTGACAGTCTTGTTCCTGTTGGAATAAAAAATAATATTAATATTAAAGTTCTGAATCAAATTAATGAGCTTTATATTCAACAATTCTGAATCACCAACAGCTGGGTAACGTTTTTGGATCCATCAACACAAAGTGTTGTCAGATGTAATAGGAGCTTAACATAATTATTCTGCAGTAAACAGATACTTCACTTAAAGTGTTACTGTATGTAAAGCTAAAAACAGCTACAAATAAAACACCCAGGTGCTTGTTTGTCTTTCTAAACAGCACAAGAAAACAAATATCACTTTAAAGTTTGGGGTGTCTCTGTAAACAGCACATGGAAGCAGCTCTAACTTAAGAACCTGGTGAGGTGTTCTGTATCTAATAAACAGCACTAGAAAATGCTATTACTTGAAAATCCAGTGACCATGTTTGTTTAGGACAAATAAACAAAATAAGAAATACACCCTGAATAAATACATTTTTGGAGCATTCAAAATTATTAAAACATGAAGAAACACCAAAAAAAAACCAAAGAAAACATAAATGAAAAGAGTTTAGAGAAAACGTGGTCCTAGATTTGATATCTTTCCTTTGAGCACAGATAAAAAACTATGTGAAGTGTAGCAGTTTAGGGTTGTCTGTTAAGACATTTATGATGTAAATAACTCTTGAAATCAATAAAAAAAAAGACTTTTAACAATGCAGATTATTATTACAATGGAAATTCAGAAATTGAAGAATTCACTTACTAATTTAATAAATTTGTAAATTAAAATGAGCAAAATACACCATAAATGTACTTTCACATACCTATAGGGACTGTATATTGCACAGTAATTACTGCATACTATTAGTTAACTTTGCTACCAACCAAACTCCACTTAATGGTAGTGAGACTTGAAGTATTCTTTAAACACATTTGATGCTCTATAACCATAAGGTAGTGATTCTTTTTAGATCAAGCTGAGAAACATGATTGAATGTAACTCTATTGAAGTAAAATTTAAAAAAAAACCTGGGCTTTAGCTAAGATAATCTTGAGTCACTTGTCAGGATTTATCTCTTTTTTTTTTCAAATTGAACAGAGTCAATCCAGTAATATTTAATGTAAAAATATTTTATGTATTAATAAAAGATCTAAAAATAATATAATTAAAACAGTAAGAAAAATACTGTTGATAGCATTCTTTTTTTTGCCTTATTGTTTCTTCTAGCTGAAGCTCATGAAGCAAATTTAAAAATGCGCATGCAATGTTTGTGACAGGTAGAGTACTGATGAGAATGTAATGACAAATGTAAACTTTATGGACTTTAAACTACATGTATATTTTTTTCATAATGGGCAGTTGTAATTTCATAACATAGATGACATCACTTAATGTCATTTCAATATTGTGATAGTATGATTTGTTAAAAAGTGCCTTACTAGCAATACCCTTTAGCTTGTTGGAAGAGCACTTACTTAGTGTGCAAAATCTCGGTCCTGGATTCAATACCACTTGTGGATAATTAAAAAAAACTGGATTATTATAACATAACTGGCAACCTAACCATAAGCCTATTAGTAAGACATCAATGGTGAGAAATATGTTGAAAGTTTGATGGGAGATGGTCTGCAAAGTAATTTAACAAAGTTTAACATTTTGTTAAATAGCCAGCATGGTTTCATTAGAAGAAAATCGTGCCTTACAAATCTTCTGACATTTTTTGAAGAGATTACTGCGTATGTAGATGAGTGGAAGGGTGTATATTTGGTGTATCTGGATTTTCAGAAAGCATTTAATTAACAAGGTGCAACATAAGAGACTTGTTAAAAAAAGAATTTCTGGAGATAATTTTGCACCATTGGATAAAAAGTTGACTAGCTGGAAGGAAGTACGAAGTTATACATGAAGTTTTGTTAAGCTGGATTAATGTCATGAGTGAGGTACATCAGGGCTCAGTATTAGGGCCTTTGCTCTTTTCAGTTTACATCAATGATATAGATGAAGGAATCGTCAATAGATTAATTCAATTTGCTAATGACCTGAACCACATCTCATTCAAAGCTTTCACAAGTTCCTGTATATAGAAACTTTTAAAAATCTTTGCTTGTTTGTTTCTCAGAACTTATAAAAAAACATGAACAAATGTAACTTAAAGCTTAAAAAAGTATTAATGAAAAAAAAAAATAGTGCACTGACTTTAATGGTGTGTTTTAGAGATAAAAGAACGGCCATTCGTTCATCACGAGTTAGATGGTGCAAGCTAAGGTTGTAGTTCATATCACGTAGTTCTCCAGCTTTTAAAGTTCCTACTGTGTCTACTTCTACCACACCCTTCTTTCCAATCCAGCGTTTTGGGGCTGCTACCTGTAGAAATATAATATTTCTGTGATTAGTATACACTGTGTAACTCCTGTTTATATGGAATTATTCTTGTGAACTTTAATTGTTGAAATGAATTTTAGGCTTTCGAGCTTTCCAGCAAGATCTCTTATTCTTCAATTCACATTTTTAGTGTGTATATTTCACAATAGCTTATATTAGGTTAAAAAAACAATCTCTATGCCAGGTGGTTATGGTTCAGGTTTTGTTGTATAATGTAAAAGTTTTTAAAATATGGATAAATCAGACCTATGATAAAAAAAAAGAGCACCAATGATGCTATTAAGCTTGTGTTTACTACAAATAAACAACCAAATGTTAATTATCTAGCTCAAGTTTAATTTATAAATCAATATAAATAAGAATGCTATATTACATTAGCTATATTCATTAATGGATTAATTTTTAGTTCTGACGTCTGCAGGTAATTTTCTTAATGAGGTTAATGACTATTATATGACAGAGCAAGAAAGCCAAAAAACTGCTAACATGTGATAATGAACATAAAAAATATTAATGAGATGAACTTGCTTAAATGTTATTTAATCAAAATGGTATGTGTACATTTAAATGTAATAAACATTTACTGGAATCAATAAGGTATGAAAAAGAAATCATTACATACATGATATTTCACTATTTTTGAGTGTTACGTATTTTATATTTGTTTAAAGGTGGTTGCCTCAAAAAAATTACGTACATAAATTATTGTTTATTTTGTAAGTGATAACTGAAAATCATCTATTAATCTAATTACTGGTTCAACCGCAAATAAATTGCTTTATAACAAGTAGTTTGTTTTTAAATGTGTCAATCTACAGTCAAAGTCTAGTAAAGTGTCAGTGTGTCATTACTTTCTGAAGAAATTTTTGATTATTATGTTGTCGGTTGATGACATTAGCAGCCTGACGTTGGCAGTTAATTATAGCAATGTAGTCCATTTCCATGTCTGTCACATCACAAAGAGCTGCTTTCCTCTCAGCTCCAGACTTGGTTCTTTCTATGGTTTCCACTTGTTCATTACGCCATTCTATAAAATGTGGAGAACGAAGTGTATTTAGTTTCAAATCAGATAAGTATCATTAGGATAAAATACAACTTTTTTTTAAATTCTTGCTTTTAATAAGATGAAAAACCAATTATAAAAAAAAGGAAAGTTGCTGTCCAAAAATTGGAAAGGTTAGTTTGAAGAATTTAAAGAAACAATGATTATTAATCTTCACAAATCCAGTGGATGGACCTAAATGAGCAACTTTTTTAAAACAATAACATCAAATTATTTTTATTATAAAAGACAAATTGACAGCAATACTTATTTCTTGACCCAGACTAAGCTGTTTCAAAATTTGGAATGACTGACCAATCTGAGTGTTCTTGCCATAATACTTTGTAACTCAATTAAGCCAAGGGTAAAAACAGAAAACAATGTTAATATTAGCAACTGGGATTTGTCTGTTAAGTCTTGATATAGAAACAAAATTTAATATTAGTTGCTTATCTAAAATTATCATGTGACTCTCTATGAAATCACATATATACATATATTGTTGCATATCTGCTTGCTTCTTAATTTCTGGCAGAAATTCTTTCCGAGGAACTTCAGTGATACAAGTCCTTTCTTGATTAAACCAGTTTATTCTTTCTCGATACAACTTTTTTTGTAATATACTGAATTTCCACAGTCACTTTAAACTTAACAACCTTTATAACACACAATATATATCACAGTGATTCACACACTTTACTTATGGTGCCTACTCTTCACTTGACTCAGTTATCTATATCTTCAATTCAATCTCTTCAATCTATCTCTAGCTGGCTTTATTTGCCGGGCTTATATACTATGATAACGCCAAAGCCTGTTGGCATGCACCACCTTCCGCTAACCTCGCTGACCACATTTTATTCAGAAAGTCACGTCTGAGAGACGATCCACTATGTCATATGGGCCTTCCCATGGAGAAGACAATTTAGGAGACTTCCCTTTGGTCTTCCTGGCATTATACAACCACACCTTGTCTCCTGATTTCAGTATATCTCTAATCATAACATAGCTTCATTGAATCAGCAGACATTTTCAAGTTTGAATGCACTTGATGATGAATATCATCCATCCTTTCAGATAACACTTTCACGAACTCTGACACATTTTCAGGCAACTCTTCGTAAGGTGGGCATCCTGTTATCAGGTCCACTGGCAACTGAAGTTCCCGACCAAACATCAACTTTGCTGGAGTGTATCCAGTGGCTTCATGCTCTGCTGTTCTATAGGTCATCAATAACAGAGGGAGTAAGACATCCCAGTCATCTTGACAGCTATTAAAAAACTTTGCCAATTCCTGTCCAAGTGTCCAATTGTACTATTCTATCTCTTTGATTTATCTGCATATCTATTTCTTGCTGGCTTTATTTGCTGGGCTTATATACTAAAAAAGAGGGCATCTGGCAAACACTAGGACATTCGTGGGGTTCCTAGATAATTCATGATCCTTCGAGAAACTCCAGTGCACATGCTCCCAGCGTTGCGTGACTTCCGCTGTTGTAACAATATATATGCAAAAAATGGCAAGTGGACTTTACATTTTTTTCATACAAACAGAAAGTGAAGATCATGCTAATATATACATTAATTAACTTTAAACGCTCACTCCACTTGGCATATTCTGAAGCTTACTATGACACATCAAGTATCCAAATTATAACAAATTATCTTAATTACACAGAAGTCTCACTGCTGGCCTACATACAGCTGTATTTTTTGTAGTATTGTGAACTCTCATAGAATTTAAATTTTAGTAACGACTGTTACAGCAAATAAAATCTAGCTCATTCTCTAAACTGAAAGTGGATATGAAAGTTTGAGGTAAAAAATAATAGTAAAATTCTGAAAAACTAGTTCTTGATATAAAAACCAATGAATGATACAAATGTTATAAAAACCTTGATAATCCTGATTAGAGTAAACAGTTGTAAAAATTAAATATACACTGATGAAATAATTTCCTTATTCATTTTGGAGCTTTGTGATGTATATCTTACAATTCATTTGCAATTACAAATGAACCAATGAATCATCATTTTAGAATCTGATTATTTCATAATATTTTTACGATCTAGTGCAGAGAAGAGAAGTTCAAAATCTGTCTTCCTGCGAGGATTGAGCTTTCGACGATATTCATCCTCCAAAGCCTGATCTAACATCCTCTGATGCATCAACTTCTGGTCTTCCTCCCACTTTTTCTTTTTTTGTAAAGCTTCTCTCAACTCTCTCACAAAACGCCTTGCTATCCATCGACGCCAGTATTTTTGAATCAACACAACCTTTAAATTGAACAAAATGAAAAAGGAAAAATCTCATAAACATGCTTTAATGAAGAGTTAAGAACTAATAAATATGATTATATTCCATTGCATGTCTTGTTTTGGCCCCTTTTCATTCATTTTCATAAAAGATCAAGGCTCATTATACAATTGCTCTATTAAACTTTCAGATTATTCCTTCAATAATTGATATAAATTTTAATTACATTACATTAAAACAATGGTTAATCTATTTTTGGAGTTAATGTAAACAGATATGACACTGATAGTTTAGTTTAAGATAGTATTAAAATAATTTTAACAAACTTGAATAATTAGAATGTTAATCGTGTAAATTAACACTACTAACATGTATGTAGTATGATTTAAAATGATAACTTTTATTCATAAGAAGACTAAATTTTGTAATACAAAGAGCTGTTAGTATTTTTTTTTTGTATTATCAAACTATTAAAGCTTTAGGGTGAAATAAAACAAGGAAAGTTTTCTGTGCAGATGAAAAGAACAGGACATACCATGTGAAAGATGATTTTCACTTGTAAATAGGTACTTAATATTAAAATATTTTCAAAAGTAACTTCACTTATTTTATATTTTGTTGGATTCTACAGTGTGGTTTAATTGAGTGAGCTTTGGCCGTGTTTATTAAAGATCTGATTGGCTGAAAAGTCATTCCATAAAAGAAAAATGTGCTTTTCCTTCATAAAGGTAGAATCATTTAAGGCTATTATGTAAGTAAAAAAAAAACCTATATTTTTGCTTTAACTATCTTTACACTTAAAATCACATTCTCAAAGTTAATATTTTTCTTACCCGAAATGTATTTTGTATAGATACTCACCTCTCTGGACAACATGGAGCTATTTACCTCATGCCACTGCACGGAGGATTTCTGTGCACATCACAAGCTGTAAACAGAGCTCCCACAACTACACATATTAACGTGTACTACACCAACCTATGATATAATCATCATTAAAATATAGCACTCCACCAATACAAAGGAAACATATCCTTTGTGCACAGTAACATTCTCCATGAGCACTAGCATTGGAACAATGGATCATTCTTGACAAGATAAAAGAAATACATTGACAGGGGGGAGGAAAGGTGGAATATTGTGCAGAGAGGTGAATACCTATCTGAAATACATTTTCAATTAAGGAAAATATTAACTTCAAAAACACATACTCACCTCTCTTCACAACAAAGAGCTAGAATCCCACACTGCTAAAAAAGTTGAAGGTCCACTGTAGAAAAAAGAAATTACAATGATGAGCTCACTCATGGAATTTGTCACCTGCTAAGGGGGTAATCTAATGGGGCATCGCTCAATGGGAGATTGAATCATTCTCATGCACAAAATACTCTTTGCTCAATAAAGGTGATAGTTCATATGCTATTGTTAATAGAACATATTGCAGAGGTGGGCAGAATGTAAGATTTTTCAACCAGTAATTATCTCTCAGGCTGATCATGAGTGTGTAGTGTGGCTAGGGCAGTAAGTCAGGCCATACTGTATTGGAGAAATACTTAAATGAGATGCTTATTAAAATAATGAGGTACAGGGAGAAAATATCCCAGATCTGCATCCCCAAGGAAAATGCAAGACCCATATGGTTGGCCTAACCAATGGAAATAACTAAGTTTTTAGTGTAGTGGGGTGGCCTATAATAAACGTCCTAGCAACATCCCAGACCTAATTCACATTGAGAGGTGCATCCACTCAGTCTCATACCAGTGGGATTACACTTACCCCAGTGACTTGAGGAAAGCAAGGGTTCCCTCATTAAATTAATCTAGTCAAAGAAAAGGGGAAATTTGCATCAGGGGAGAATGCTGGAGAGGTTCTCAGACTAAACAGGAATCATGATATCTGCATAAGATCTCACACTGATAGACTGTGCAAAGAATGTCCACAGGTATACAAAGTAGGAAAACTGAGGAAACCCGAGAAACAACTCCAGAAAAAGTCACTTGTGAGACCCATGATGGCCAGCCTTCAGAGTCTGGTGATACTGGATGGTAATAAAAGGACTAGGAATAGGAAGGGAGATCCCATAAGGCTGTAGAGGATGAGAAACATAATGGAAGGGGGGGGGGGGATGGTCCAAAAATGCAGGAAATCAAAGTGAGAAGAGATGACTGCTGATGAGCTGCATCAGCTCAAGGTTTCAAACTATAAGAAATAACCCCAAAAACGTCATTACGAAGAAACGATGCAATGAAGAGTGAGGAAAACATAAGAAGGGAAGGCATCCCAACAAAGTAAACATCAGAAACAAAAAAACGAAGTTAACTGGGACACAACAGAAGAATAAGAAAATTGAGGGCATGCTGGAAAACACATATGTGCAAGGTTCCTCAGTAAAACTGACAGGGTTGTGATATAAGGCCTCTAAAAGTGAGTGAAACGTGGACAGATAGCAAATAATTTGAGTAATTAAGAGATGAAGATGAGTAGATGAAGACTGAATGAGAGAGAAAAAAAAAACGAAAAAGAGGAGGGTTCCTAAACTGAAAGAAGACTCAAGTGATAGAGGCTCTTAAAATAAGGTAGCCTCAGATTCAGCAGAAAACAACTGGAGAAAGTGAAAATGAAAGATACATACCCATATAAGCCAAGCAGTGAAAGAGAACGGTGAAATTACCTGATCCTCCTCGGGAAGAGGGAACTAGAAGCAAAAGCAGGCATGGAAGCAGCACTAGTGAAACTCAACAAAAGATGGCAGCAGGTTCAGCTGAAGTGACATAAGAAGGAGATTGGGAATTCCGGATCTGAGATTAGAATGGAACAAACCACCTGATGCACAATGTAATGGTGAGAGCTTCGTTCAAAGCTTCTGGTGTGCACAAAAATTTTCATAGCAATGGTGTAGGTTATAGCTCTTTGTTGTGCAGAGAGGCAATTGCACATTTCTGAATCTTTTTTTTATTAATTACTAAAGAAAGCTTTAATATTAAACTATCACTGTTTTTCAATTTCGGTTCATTTCAGTGTTAAACTGTTGGAAAGAATCATTAACTTAAATGGTGTAGAAAGAGACGTATCAAAATCCTCATGATAACTACATATCCTAGCTCTGGTTTCAAACTACGTGGTTTAACCACTAAATAAAGAAGGCACTTTTAATATATACTGCAACACAGTGTGAGATAGCGAATTCTACTTTTATTTTGTTATGGTTTTGTTTACTATTCCTTCTATCATTTAGTTCATCTATGAATCTTTAGTTATATTAAAGTGCTAGCTCATCTTATAGCCAGAACACCTTGATTTCTATGAATCTTTAGTTATATTAAAGTGCTAGCTCATCTTATAGCCAGAACACCTTGATTTCTATGAATCTTTAGTTATATTAAAGTGCTTGAAATCAAGGTGTTCTGGCTATAAGATGAGCTACTCGAAATCAAGGTGTTCTGGCTATAAGATGAGCTACTCGAAATCAAGGTGTTCTGGCTATAAGATGAGCTACTCGAAATCAAGGTGTTCTGGCTATAAGATGAGCTAGTATGTATGTATTATGAAACTGACACCAATTTCCCATAGCAGTGACATACAAATATTAATGTTGTGAAAGATTTTATATATATTTACAGTAATAGATACTCACATGAGATGTATACTTGTGGTTCAACCACTAAACAAAAACCCTTCCTTGATCTTAAATGAGTTAGTTCACATTTAACAGTTACAATTATTGCTTGATATTGTTATTAATCTTGAGAAATGGTTTAATTTTGGAACTTTGTGTTTTTTGGGGGATTAGGTTTTTTCTTCTTCTCATTCATTTTCCTAGTTTCTTTATTTATTGAAATAATAACATTGATATTTATGTTGTATTGTATATTAACATTTGTATCTAGTCCTGGACAGACACAGGTTTACTAACTGGTTTTTGTAAGTGATAAAATTTGTATTCTAGTTGTTTGAAAGTTTTATTTTGGATTTCTGTTGCTACATTTTAATATATATATATTTTTTTACCCTGGTTATAGCAGCATTTTGTTTTAGTTTGTTACAGTACTATTTCGTTAATAGCTAATGCTCTGACAACTGGTTAGTTTCCTATCAAATTTTATTTATCCTGAATGAAATTCACCCTTTAAAAAAAAATATACATGTACAGGTTGGGGAAAAAATGACTATACAGTTGTTTTATTTAGAATATAATTTGATTTTTAATTATTACTCTGAAATAAACAACATTTAACTTGGTTTCAATCATCTTGATAACTTTCTTTCTTTTTAGTACCAACTGCATAATACCAACTATACCAACCATAGAGTACTAACTGTATAGTAGTACCTTTTGCTCCACCCTATATATTAAGATACAACTTTTACTATAACAGTTTTAGAAAATGTGGATAAAAAGAAGTCTTACTTTGTCTAATAATTTTTGTTGAATCTCATCTATAGTGATATATGGTTTACGAGGTACCAGAATTTTGTCACTCTGTGAAGGTAGGTAAACATCAGATCTTTCTACCTGTGTGTAGACATCTTTATTTGTCTGCTGTTGTTGATGATTCAACTTTGTGGTCTGAGTATCTCTGAAGTTTTAACAATAATAATAATACATGAGATCAAACCAGTAGTATAAGACCAATACTTATACCTGCATTACAATAGTTGTTATTTTTTGTATTTTCATATCATAACTCAAGGTTCAATTGTAACATAGAGTCAGTATTTTTGAAATCATAAAACTATCAAATGCATGCTATATGCACTATTGAACTGGGCATTTCAGTTTCAATCAAATAAATGTAGGTTAAAGATGTATAATTTCAAATCACACTACATGAAACTCTGAAGAAAATAATTTATGTACTAGTTTACAATATATATATATATATATATATTAACCTGTTTCCCCAAAGTACTATTTTGTTCAAAAAATCGATTCTCATTAACCACCCAAAAACTGTGCAAGATACATATACATGCACATATGAATAGGTCTCCTATTTCTGTGATGTAAAAAAATTATGCTTATATAGTTATAGCATGGCTGCTTATGGTATTTAACGTTTTCTATATAGTTTACATTCTTTTGGTGAGACATCGGCATTTTTTGGCTTAAAATAGTCACATGTCCCCAGACCCCCATAGCATTAGCATGCTTTGTATATATTAACTTTTATCAAAGAAACGGTTTACAGTGAGAGATTTAAAATTATTTGTTTTTCATATTGAGGCAGCTGATCACTACAAAATCTGAAACTTAGTATTTTGAAACCACTGTTTAAACCTAAAACAAACATGGTTGAAATATAGCAAGAAACATATAGCTAATATCTTCACTAGGCCTGATCATTATCTGATTCAAGTACTGACAACATTTTCTGCTTTCATACAGTTATTTTAAATATTGTTTTGTACTTGTAGATAATAAATGACTGTATCAAACTGCAGTTGTTTTTAAAAGTCTTCACACTTATATGCAAAGGAAATTTTACAGTCATTTTATGTAGTTATCTTTCGAGCACAATAACTAGAAAGAAAGTAATAAACACATAACACCAAAAAAAGTATTGTTCTTAACTAGTTCCAGTGGACATCATTCATCAAGATAACCTCAATGGCAGTTACAGAAGTATCTGACTAAACCTTTTTTTACCAGTTATAATGGAAGTCAAGACTGTATTTTGAAGGACAAATATTTGTGATTCAATACTCAGTTGTTATCAAGTAGAGTATTATTTGAGTAAAACTATTAGAAGTTTTATTTACACGTGAAGTCAGTGACAACAAGTATATGTACGTTCTGGAAATGAGATTTGAATTTTTTCTGTTTTTTTTTTTATAAGTCAGCAACAATAAATTACCATAATTTATCAAGAAATTGTTATTCTTAGAAAGTTATATTTATATATTATTCTTTTTAGTATTAGTATTACAAAGATTGCTAAGTGTATTATTTTAATATTCTAATATTGGTTGTGATAATGCAAAGATGTTAAGATATGAAATGTTATTGTATAGTAGAAATAATCTATTCATTGTTTCTTCGCAGTGTACTAAAGAGAAATCCCTTACATTAAATTTATACTTTCATACAAAGGGAAGCAATGGTATAATTAAGTTAACAATGATTTAAAAAGAATCTATGTGCATTTATTATTCACTTGGGATTACAACAACAGTTTCTGATGTTTGTGTTTTCAATACTTATTGTACGTTTCTTTCTACAAGTGAAAGCCAGGCTGTAAAATGCTAAATCATTTATTTTAAAATATATATCAGCTTATACAAAAACGATTCTGAGAGGTTATATGTTGTAGAGTATGTGCTTAAAGTTATGGGACATTCTGAATGACAGAGAAAAGGAAAAGTTGAAAATTGTTTAGTTCGGGAACTCACCGAGAGAATGTTTCTATTCCTTTATCAGGTTTGGATTTTGGAATTGTTTGAGTTGATGAGTGGTGATACTCTACTCCAGTTAATTTGTGTCGATAGCCTCCTAAGAAAGGTTTGGTTTTGCATGTCTGGACAATCTCTGTTCTTGTACCTTGATGTTGGTAAGTTTCTAAGAAAATTAATAACATTAATAATGCTACCTATGGCATAATGCTTAAACATATTTTTGGGTTAAATAAATTGGTATAACAGCACTGGAGAATACAAGTCCTGATTATCCTGGTATGAAATAAAAATGAAGTAAATGAATAAATAATTCTTGACAAGTTAAACTGTTACAACTTTCACATGCCTGCCCTGCAGTGCATTATACCTTGAATAGCATTTAAAGTGATATTAATTTTTCTTTCACAGAAACCTGATAAAGATATCAAATAAATAAATACTGCTCAAAACAAACCAACATAATGACAACTGATATTACTAAAAAATGTAAACATAGAGCATAAATTACTATTTAATAATACACGTAGATGTGTGAGTGTATAACAAAATATGTATGCATTAATCATACACATGGATGTGTGTGTGTATATACGTATGCATATACAGATGCTCTTGTAAACAGTCTGGAAATAAAGTTATATACTTGTTCTCGTCTAACGCAATATATATATATAATAATATGTAAACATTCTTGTTTTATGAGAATGATATATTTAGTAAGCTAGCATATTCAATCACACTTTTTATTGCATAACACATATTAAAATCAAAGTTCAGCAGTGAAGTCTGATTCTTTGAGTGACCACTTCAAAATAACGTAAGTGCTCCTATAAGAAATAAGAATGTGTTTAGTTCACAATGCCATCACTAGAATGAAAATGCAAAGGGCAGTTGAAATATCATTCATTGATTCTAACTTTGTACTCTTTCCGAATAACAATTTACCACAGAAAAAAAAAAAGAAGGCCAAAAACTTCTCTAACTTACCATTACTTAATCTTTGAGTTGTTTCATTTTGTAGACTGTCAATCATTTCTGATTCTACTTGTATATACATTGGATCTGTTTCTTTATCAGTTTGAATCTGGCTGTCATTTTCATATTCAAGAACTTCTAACTGGTCAGTTGATTCTTCAAGAAGGTTAAGATTATCATCTTCAGGCTTTTCTTTAATTTGACCATCTGACTCATCAACTGGAATCTGACTGCTATCATTGTATTCATAAATACCTACTTGACTATCTGAATTATCAAATGGTAATATTCTGTTATCATCTAATTCACAAATGTCTAGTTGTTTACTCAACTCTTCATATGAAATCTGATTAGGCTCTGGAACTTCTATATAATTATCTGATTCTTCAGGTGTAATCTGATTGCTATCGTTAGGCTCAGGAAGTTCTACATGATAGTCCAACTCTTCAGATTGGATCTGATGATCAACATCAATCTCTGACTCTTCCTGTGCAATATAGTTGTTGTCACCAGGTCTAGGAAAAGAGTATATTTGTTCACTCATATCATCATTTATAGAGCAGTTTTCTAAATCTATATCTTGAGTTCCCATTTCCTGTTCTGTAGAAGAGTTGTATAAAGTATCTGATGAAGCATTACTATTTTGTTCTTTTGTATTTTTGGTATCAACTGCAGACAATTGGTCATCATTGTATTCTGGCTTTTCTGATTTACTGACTTTTGGGTTTTCCATGACAGGAAACTGTTTAAAAAATATGTTAATATACTTTTTTGTGTAAAATACTGAATATTAAAAAACATTTTTACAATTAACCTTAGAATATAATTAGCTCTTTTAAAATGTAAGAGATTGTTAAGTTTGTTTCTTTGTAGTTAAGCACAAAGCTACACAATGGGCTATCTGTGCTCTGCCCACCACGAGTATCGAAACCCGGTTTCTAGCATTGTAAGTCCACAGACATACCACTGTGATACTGGGGGGCAACTGTTAAGTATATTCAACTCAACTAAATAGGAAGCACATTCATCTAGAATTAAATGAAATACTAATGATTACTATTTAAGTTTAGATCTTATAATATGTTATACCATTTTAACATCACTGTAACAGAAACATGTTTATTTCTATGTCAAAGTCTTCAAAAATAATTCATAGTTTAGAATATTTTTGAACACAGGGTACAAATGTTTAGGTCTAGGTTTGACAACATTTAATATAATATAAAACTTTTATTAAAAATAAAAGTTAAAGACAAAGGACTTATTGTTTCATCTAGGCTATAACATCCACTAAACTAAACTTTAAAATAAAACACCAATAAAATTTTAAACTTTGTTAAACGACTTTGCAAAACAAATTTTATCAAACTTTTCCCACCAGTTTTCAATGCAGAAGAAAACGCAAATGTAAATAATTTATATTAGAAAACCGTGGAAAATAGGCTTACTACCCGATTTTTCACACTGTCCACACAAAATTTTAAAAACTGTCTTAATTAAGCCTTTAATACAACATCACTTGGGCAATGAGTGTGATTTTTTGCATAGTTCAGTAAATACGACAGCTAACCATTTATTAAAATGAAATTAAAGGCCTAAAATATGCTATAGACTATCATATTCACTACGCTCTCTGTCCCTGTTGTTTCTTTAATTTTAAATTTAAAACAATTAAACCTTAACAACAAAAAAGTAAAAGTAAACTAATATTAGTAATAATAAACTTTCCCACACCTTGCCTGCCGATGACTGTTAGTGTCAATGCCTGTTATTTTAAATTTTCGTATATTGTGATTTTATTTCATGTTGTAGAGTTAGGTTTGATTTATGTTCGAGGAAAATACATAATATCTACAATAACTATAGTACTAGTACTACTACTACTAGTACCCATGACGCAGCCATGTGGTATCGGAAGTTTAGTTTACTACTGTAACTATGGTTACTTTTAAGTCAGTTGAATATGCTTTTTACATTCATTGGCGAGAAGTATTTCTATTCGTCAAGTTCGTATTACCAAGAGTTATCGATTATTTATTTCTCTGCATAGGATAATAAATAAGATAAATAAATATTTATATACATTCAAAGACAGCACAAAAATAATGTAATCCAAATTTAGTGTTGTAAATAAGAGTTTACCAAAGTGTGCACCCCCTCTGCCCCATTGAGGAGCAAATGATTTTTTTTTTTTGAGAGAGGCGAGAGAGATAGAGAAGTGGTGAAATAATGCAAAATTAAGCGTTTTAATGTATTTGTTTTTCATAAAAATAATAATTAATTACTACAACACATATAGAATTTTTATACGTATCCACGTACTACATTTCGTCACTTAAATCACTCTTTTCACTCATTTAAAAAATAGGGAGGTGCTCAAAACCACCACATAAAGGGAGGTGTGGGTGAAATAAATTTGGGAAACGTTGTTATAAGCTTTGTTTCTAATTAGCACAAAGCTACACAATGGGCTATCTGTGTTCTGACCACCACGTTGTGCCACTTGGGGGGGGGGGGCTGTTATAAGCTTATTTGTTTTAATTTAGATGTGTGCCAGAAAGGGCGGAAGACGTTGCGATCAAGCAAGTTTATACATGTAGTCCTAGAATACATAGAAAGTTCATGATGATGTCAAAAATCTAGTAACTTACACTAATATCTAGACATGTATACTGTTACATATCTGCTTGTTTGTTAATTTCCGGTAGAATTTCTTTCCTTTCTTGATTAAACCAGTTTATTATTTCTCGATACAAACTTTTAGTGCACAGTAATTCCACTGTCAGTACGTTTCTC